CGCTGCCACGCGCAAGACCGGAGGAGTGGAACAGACATTTTCAGTCCCTACTAGCATATACACCCCTAGACGAGAGTGAGCCGACGTGTGCGAACACTACCCTAGCAAAGAGGCTTAGCAAACTGACCCTAGAGTAATGAACGCGAGAACACGTTTACTACTACTATTAGTCGCCATAGCATTTGTGATCATTAAAAAAAATGGAGAAAGAGAGAGGGCTCTTTTATTTGATTGTGAGGAGCAACCAGGAGAAGCAAAGCATCGAAATCAAGCTCAGTGACGACGTTCAAGCTCTCACAAAGCGATTAAAGACTGCGATAGCCTTCTTGATGACGTCGAACTGGAAGAGATGAAGCCATTTCTTAGTGAACATGCCACTGCAGGTTGGCTCTACAATGAAGCGGAAGAAGCGAAGGCATTGGTGGTGGTGGGGGGGGGGGGGGAGATGAAGAAGTGATCGCATGACAACAAAGTTCGCTGGGTTTTAATCCAGACTAGTTAAGAGAATCCGACTCGGTGGTACCATTATTTGAATGATAGCTCTAGAAAACATCTACAAATCAATCCTTCGGCTGGAATCACTTACACTCGAGAATCGATGCTGCTTGTGACTCAATACACCTTGCAGCAACATCCAACGGTGTAGTACAGTACTGTAATATCAATTTAGACAATTGCTGGAAAACAATGCACTATTCTATTATACTTTTTTATTATTAGTAAGTTTAGCATAATATCATGTTTGCTAATATACTACTAACACAGAAGCAATAGTATCTGAATTAATATATGAGATAGCAATAGTATACTTTGCTACTTGTGGATACTAGTAGTAAGCGTAAATTATGACAATTTTCTCCACATCAAATGCGTGAAATGTCACATCTTGTTAAAAGCACATAAACCTTCACTGGTAGCCGCAGGTGCTTCGGCTGCAAAGCAGGAAATCCTATTTTGGGGACTCCCAAAGTTCGAATCGTATAAGTGCACATATTTTGTAATAGAATATGTGAACACGGCGACTGGTGTACTATTCAATTCAAAACAAGAAAATTAAAAAAGAATGAGCCGGTTGAAGAGGAGAATCAAGTCGGCTACCTATTTGTCGGCTATCTACTTAAGTAATGCTTTCCAGATTTGCCTGCAACCCTTATTACTAGTACCGGTATCCTTTATAGATGTTACCGCCTGACTGCAGAGCTGGTGAGATAAATGAGACCATGGTGAATTGACTAGCCACGTTTCATTATTTGAAATGATGGTGGCTCCAAATACCAGCTTCAACGAATTAGTCATTAACGACTTCGAGTTTTTGCCTCCAACGAGTCGGCGATGGAGCAGTGTTGTTTCATGTCGCCACGCACACCGCTTTTTGTTCTCGTGAAACAAACAGTGGCTGGGCATCACATTTTTTTCTAACAAGAAAGACATGCAGTCTACTGTTTTGCCACACAAATCCAGAGCTTCCCCATGCAGAGCACAGCATTGTATAAAAATAGATAACTAGTACTATGTTTACACATATTGAATTGACCATCACTCCTGTCAGCACTGGTTTCACTATCTTTAAAGGTTGCAGAGGTTGATGCTGTCACTCACCCTCACCATGACCCAGCCCATGAACGACCCGAGTCCCCAGAAACCGCGTAATGTGCTGGATAGGATGGCGTCGCGCCGTGGCTCCATCCAGTCAGTAGTACTTGAGCACATCCGTCGCAACTCGGCCTTAAGCACGGCTCCACTGCGGTCGTCGCTCCTAAGACCGCGATCGAACTCAGTGGAATTATTGCTGTTCGAAGTACAAAACGCCTTCGACCCCAACTCGATTTTCATTCACGTGTGGCAGCAACTGTTGCTGGTTTGTGTCATCTACGAGATTTCCATCTTGCCGTACCTAGTGGTGTTTCGAGAGACAAACATTTCTAGAGACACAGCAGAACTCGTGCAACTTTACGTCTGCGAGCTCTTCTTTCTAGCCGACATTTACGTGGAACTTAACACAGGATTCTACGAAGGCGGCGACGTCACCAGAGACGCCAAAAAGTCTCGAACAAGGTACCTCAAGTCGCCCCGATTCATCCTCGACATCGCGGCACTTGTGCCAATGTCATTTTTTCCAACACAAACATCTGTGTCAATTGCATTTTTCGAAATGCACAAATTGATTCGAGTATGGAAAATCCCAAAGTTTATTTCACAACTAGATGACGTATACGCCAAATATTTCGTGGTACTGAAAATGTTCAAAGTGTTGCTAGGGATTCTGCTATTGTCACATTTCATAGCCTGCGTTCGCTTCTTGTTCGGCTACGATGAACACGGTCATGACCACTGGTTGCCACACATGCCTGACCACGAACAAACGTCCCGAACGAAATATCTCATGTCGATTTTTTGGGCGTTTGGCGTAATGACGGGACTTTTTGAAGGAGAATTGCCACATACAATTCTGGCGTTTATTTTCACGATTTTCGTGGCGATTTGTGGTTTTTTGCTCTTCACTTACCTGTGTGCCACATTTTTCATGATTTCCAAGTGCGAAAGTCAAAACGAGGCATCCGAAGCACGAATAAACCAGTTCAAACATCTACTCTCGTTTCACCACGTTCCTGAGGAGCTGCAAACCCAAGCAGTGGGTTATTTGAAGCGATATTACACGTACGCAGAGTCGAATGACCGTGAAGCAATGCGGTTATTATGTCCGTCCATTCGAAAAGATGTACAGGTGGCGTTGATGAAAGACCGAGTGGCAAATGTTGTTATCTTTCAAGGCTGCAACGAACAATTCATCGTCGCGATCACAAGTTTGCTTGAGATGATGTCGGTGCCGGCGTATTTCGTAGTTTTCAAAGCCGGTGACAGAGGAGACGCCATGTTTTTCGTCAATTCTGGGGTGCTTCATGTCATGGTGGACGGGGTGAAGGTGCGGGAGGAGCGTAAAGGGGATTTTTTCGGCGAAATGAGTGTTTTTCTCAACCGTCCTCGTCATGCCACAGTGGTGACCAACACGTATTGCACTCTTTACAAACTCGAACGTTTCCACCTCGAACGAGTACTCGACGGATATCCAGAGTACGCAAAGTTGATTACAAAGCAAGTAGAGGAGATGGCAAGAAGAATTTTCAGCGGCAAGTCGCGAGATCTGCTTCCAGATGCAAAAACAGGAAAAGGGAAAACGATCTCGAGACTTCTTCGCAAACATTTGCAAAACGAAAAAACAAAACCGTCACTGGGCTGGGTAGTGGCTAGTGCGGTAGTGAAGAAAGAAGCCAACGTGCCTGCACAAGATAATGACGAAGCCTCGGTAAAGCCAACAGTGGGGTGGCTAGTGGCAAATGCAGTAGCGAAGAAGGAAATCGTCGCGCCAGCGTCAGATAGTGACGAAACATCGGTCAAACCATCAGTGGGGTTATTACTGGCAAAGGCAGCAGCGAAGAAGAAACTTTTAATGCTTGCTCAAGCGAACAACGAGGCTTCGCTAACGTCAAATTTGCCTACAACTCCAGCCCCACAGCCTCAAGACAGCAATTTGGCTCGCCTAACTAATCCCAGCCCTGTAATAGTCGACGCTAACCTCCAAACAACTGTACCCCAGGCGCCATGTAAACCTATAGAAGCCGTCCCAGTACCCAGTGACACTCGTTCGGATAGCTCGAAGAAAGCGTCGAGTCAAGAACAGGTAGCGGAGACTGTGGAACCACTATCCGTGACTAAGCCGAAGTCGGACAGGAGAACGAGTTTAACGATGCCTCCTGTGACACAAATGGTGGCGGCACAGTTAACTCTGAAAAGGGACCCAATGGCTCCATTTTGGTCTGTTTTGCTTCTGAAAAAGGCCATAGATTTCGAATCAAAGCGGCGGATGTGGTGGATCTTGGCGTTGGAAGTAAATCTCGTCTACTTTTGGTTCGTAATCCCGACTCGTCTTGCCTTTGAGGTTTTGAACCACCCGAACTGGTTGATTACCGTTTTAAATGTGCTCATGGAGATTGCACTGTGGGTGGATATTTACTTAAATTTTAACTTGTCATATTTGGAGAACGCGGAAAAAATTTGGAAAACTAGTTGTACGGCGCGAAGATATTTTAAAACAAAGTTTATCTTCGATCTATTATGCGCATTACCTCACTGGGCGATGGGATCCGAGTTTCTTCGACTTTTACGGCTGTTACGAATGTGGCGAGTTCTGGACCATGTCAAAGAAGTTGACGAATTTTTACATCTTGACAACAAAAAGCGGTTGCTATTATTTGGCTGGTTAATGATCATGCTCTATCACACTGTGGCATGTCTGCATTTCAGTGTAACTTACCTGGAAGGATTCAGCTCGAGTCCTCATGCGTGGCTTCCATCCAGTGATTTACACTTGCGTCGACTGAATGAAACGTATTTTATCGATTCAGAGGACGCAATTTACGCAGTTGGTTCTTCCGAGATCATTAAAATCGGATTGAACCAGTATTTTCGATCACTATACTACGCTTGCTACGTTATCACAGCTCTCGGTCGACCCGTCGAACCAGCCAGCGACATTCAATTCGGCGCAGCTCTGGTTTTCATGCTCAGTGGGTTTTTCATTACCGCGATTGTAGTTGACAACGTTCAGAAGAGATTTACTGCTTCTGCTTTCGAACAAAAAGAATTTTTCGCCAATCGTACTCGAATCCAGCTTTTCTTGATGCGACAAAATGCTCCTGTGGCAATTCACCAACGGGTGAGCACTTTTCTCGATTTTTGGTGGTCTACACATCGCGGAGCAGTCATCGGTTCTCTATTGGAAGAGCTCCCCGCATCGATCAAGAACGACATCATGAAGAGCATTTGCAAGCCTGCGCTGCAAACAGTAGCATTGTTGGCGGGGGTTCGACCTGTTGTAAACGAATTGGAACAGGTTTTTATCGACAACGTTGAATTTATTCTCTATGGTCAAGGAGAACTTGTGTATCGTCAAGGAGACTTTGCAGGAGGTTTATTTTTCCTGCTGGAGGGCGAATTGTGTGTGATAGCGAATGGAGGTGCACCGCGAAGTGTCCCACAAGGGAGTTTTATTGGCACAGCAGCGCTGCAGTTTGACACTAACTCACCCAATTATTCGGAGCGTGTGATGACAATTAGCGGATGTATCATGTTGTTTATTTCGCGAGAACATTTACTCTTGATGAAAAGTACGTTCCCATCACTGCCCGAGGCCTTGGAGGCACTCGAAAAACGCTTTTTGGACCCGAAATTCCTCAAGGCATCGGAAATGTCTGCGGGTGGAGCAACTTCAAGCAATCGTCATTTTATCATCGTTTGGTTTTCCGAACTCGTGTTCGATCCGGACTCTGGGGTAATAATTGCGTGGGAGGCGTGGATATTTATCGTCATGACGGTGCAATGCGTGCTGACCGTATCAATAATTTGCTTCCCTGTACCATCCGAAACGATGGAAATTATCGACATTATTAGTTTCCTGATCGAGATATTTTTCATACTCGACTTGTTCGTAAGATTTCGGTTAGGTTTTCACGAATTCGGTAACAAAGTCATGGATTTGCGCCTGATTAGGAATAATTACGTGCGTTCGCGGTCGTTTATGATCGATACCTTGGCATTACTACCCCTCTATTTCGTTGACTGGGGGCTGGCAAATACGGGTCACCATCTTGAAATTCTCAATCTGAATAAACTCATAAGGCTTTTCAAAGTTCCGGCGCAATTTGCAGCATTGGAGAACAAACACCTCAAGTATACGTTGCAACTTCGACTGTTCAAGTTGGTGTACTACACATTTATACTTTCACACACGCTTGGGTGTTTTTACTTCGACTTTCGCTCCCATGCATCCCAGATGCATAACTCCGGACATAGTGAGGACTCGCATGCTAGAAACGCACACTGGTTGGCTGAAGAATCGTTGCTTGAGGAAGGGTATCCTTTACAGTATTTTACGTCGCTGTTTTGGTCTTTCGGAGTCATGTCGGCATCCTATCCAGGTGAACTCCCTAAAACCACGTCCCAGTGTTTATTTAACACCATCACTCTCACTTTTGGCTTCTTCCTGTTCGCATACGTCATTGGGAATTTCTCTGACGTTATCGAACTTATGGATGCTGAGAACCGAGAATATTACGCTACTCTCAGTTCGTTCAGGCATTTGTTGGAACATTTTAGACTTCCACTCCCCATTCAAGAACGCTTCAAGGCTTATTTCTTCTTCAAGCGCTTCCACTCGATCACGCAGGAACATTTACTTGAAAGTTACCTTCCTCCGTCTCTGTTAACGGATATCCGAATGGTGCACTTGCAACCGATGATCGTGAAGGTTTCTTTCTTGGCTGGTATGAATGGAAGTGTGACGAGAATGTTGGTCTCGCATTTCAGCCAAGTTATGATCGTCAAAGACGAATTTGTCTACAAATACGGGGAGGAAGGCAGCGATATGTATTTCGTGTTTGCTGGTCTTCTGGATACATTAATACCTCGTGAAGAAGAGTTGAAGCAACAAGCTGCTATGCCCACTGTAACAACAACCTCAGTTTTAACGAGAAAACAAAGTATAAAAGCACGACCGTCTAGTCGAAAAGTGCATCCTCGACCTCAATCCGAGTGGACAAGCGACAAATTAGATCTCAACGTACTAAGCAAGCTGAACCAAGTCACTGCAGGAGATTACTTCGGAGAAAATGCACTATTTGTTGATAACGTACGGAATGCTTTCGTGTTGGCAAAATCGACCTCAATTCTGTACAAATTATCGAGAAATTCCCTCGAGATCGTGTTTAATCGATACCCTGAGTGGAAACAAAAAGTACTCCGAATTATCAACGTGCAACAGCAGAAGCTACGATTAAAACATATTGCTAAAATGGAGAGATATAACTCGATAGGATCTGCTATGACTGAAGACGATCACATGAACGCGTACGCCGAGAGAATGGAAGAAGCCGTAATTTCAGCTCGGTACAAACGCCCTAGTGCAGCCAGTGCGATCAGCAGACGAGAAACAGCAGAACGTACACCATCGATGAGAAACAAGATTGCTAAAAAGGAGTCCAAATTACGCGCTCCTAAATTTGTGGCTGTGCTATTCCGTGGAGCTCCTGCGCAGAGTTCTTCCCACTTGGCGTGGATCAAGGTGATTATTTTCACTACTTTGTTCATGTCTATTGTAGTGCCTTATCGCATATCGTTCGACTCGATGGAACACACCGAGTGGTTACCAGTTGTTATTCGAGAACTGGAAATTCTGTGCGAGGTGTTTTATATTGCCGATATCTGGGTGAATTGGCGAATCCAGCGGTCAAGTGAATCGGTCGATTTGTATGAGCAAGACCACCGCGAAACGTACAAAAGTGAGAGACTTCTGTACGATATTTTGGCGGCATTTCCTCTTGACTATCTTGTCTCCAGCTTCTCGAATGACCCGTTGTATCGCATCAATCGCTGCCTAAAATTGCGTAATTTCCTGCACTACATGGACGAAATCAACCGAGGAAGTATTCATAAGGAGATGCATCGCCTGCGAACTGCGTCGGTACTCTATGTGGTGTTAATATACTGGGGTGCTTGTATGTATTTCTCCATCGCGGTGTATGATCACTTTGGTAACGAATGGAATGCCTGGCTGCCTGATGCCAGTCTCTCCGATCCAGAGGGAAAACAAACATTACGATTATTGCGTGGATTATTTTTCGCAACGACGTCATTTATCAAGAAAGGCCGAACTTTCCAACCAGATACAATTTTCCACTTTGTTTTCTGCATTATTGTGTGTTTCGTTGGGCTTTTGACCATGGCGTTCATGATCGGAGAGTTCGCCAACCTCTTTATTTCTTACATTAGCAACGAAGTGGAATATCGGAAAAATCACATTGCGGTTGAAATGTATTTAGCGCGATGGAAAATTACGGGAGAATTAAGAATTCGGACGCAAGCTTTTTTATCTTCGCTGTGGTCGTCACACCGAGGTGTAGATTACCAATCATTTCTGGAAGGTGTACCAGTCTGTATTCGTACAGATTCGGTTCTCGTCATTGCACAGGCGCCGCTGAATTCCTTCGTTAGCGATATATTTCGACCTCTTCCTCGTAGTGAAAATTTTAATTTCGTTGAGAAATTGACCCAAGATATTGCACAATATCTCAAATTCGAGGGCTATCCCCGAGACGAGAATGTGGTGGTAGAAGGAAGCATCGCAAAGTCCATGTACTTTGTTGTACGTGGCTATTTGTACTCCACGAGTGAATCTCAGCCGAATCGCACCTCCAGTTACAGTAAAGGTGCCTACTTTGGTGAGAAAGGGTTACTGGTTTGCTCAGTTAGTGCGTGCTCCATCCGCACCCTAAGAGCGTGTGATTTGCTTTCGTTAGGCTCCGATTCTCTATTGCGAGTGCTTCAAAGTCATCGCGTTACAAAACTTGCATACGAAATTGCAACTCAGGCAGTTCAGATTGTCAAATCTAGAGAACGAGTGACGTCCAGTGTGACGGCGACGGAGACTGAGTGGGGAGAGGCAGTGATGGCAGCGATACGCTTGAAGAACACAGAAGTTAGCGCTACTGGTTCGAGTGCACACGACATCGTGGTAGAAGATGAACTTAATGCTGGTGTGCAATCTCGTAAGCATATACTGGAATTACTAGGATATTTTACCACATTAGAGCGGGCTGTTGATGCATTCGGTGCCTTCCGACAGCTACTCCAGCTGATAGTTCCTAACGGACAACTTCATGATTTCGGAGAACCGACGGAGGTACCAGTTGAAAAATCACCTACGATGAGTGAGATTGATGTCCGGACTGAGGAGCAAGTGCAGGCACTTGCTGTCATTGGGCGTCTCTTTCGCAGGAAAGCCAACACAGTCGCTCCAATGACGACAACTACAAGTAGCACACCCAAGCAAGAAGAACCCGTCCCATCAGGGGTGGCAGATCACTTGATGCAGTACGAGTCAGCCCAGTTGATTCCAGCTCCAACATTGAAGCCAATCGAGAATCAATCGCGACGCGAGTCAGCACGTAGCTTAAGCTCGTCTCAGCATATTTCCCAACCACGGTTGGTAGCAGTGTCACCACTAGCCTCACCGCCAGTGACTCTAGTGGAATCTACACCAGCTCCGGAGGTACAGCCTGGTGCCGATTGTATTTAATTGTTGGAGGGATGGATAAGGTGGACTTCTACGTGATTGGCAAAAGACAGAACGCTTGTCGAACCTGCAGCAATTGACGCAAGCCCACATGTAAGATTTATTTCAACGGCGTTTAAACAGATCAAACTGTATGGAAATGGAATACAGTGAATTTCAAAACCCGATCTTCGCTTCAAATTATATCGTGATATCCAGGTCAACTTTCATCTTCAATCGATTTCACTTTTTCCTGTCTCCAAGAGTGGACTTCAGCAGCCTGTGAATCGCAGGTGGCCAACGCACGGCAAGCAGCAGAATCTCCATAGAAATTCGCACGATTGTGAAAGTGATCACCACGACCGTTGTTACGATAGCGAAAAACACGCGAAAAAAGACCAATCTTCGTGGTGCCCGACGACGCGGGTACAAAACAGCACGCACAGCTCGACCGCACAACCAGAAGTTAATGTGCCTTGGTAGAAGTAGAGCGAAACGAATGGCGCTTAGGACGAACAGCATACGCCCAACCGCCCAATCCACGAGATACCCAACGAGATACCCAACATTCGTCAAACTCGGGACGAGACACAATGACGAATCCCTCGATTTTACTATTCAAAAATTAAAAACACGGTCGAAATTTACTCGGAGAACCGACGGAGCAAGGCAAATTATACTCATACCGTACGAGTGCTTCGAAAGAACTGCAGGCATCTGAGACTTATATTGCAACATCTAGCTTGTGTTTTTAAAGAGGACTCGTATATCGATAGTGAATACCTAGGTGAACAGTTGGGCTTCTATCATCTTAAACGACAAAAGGAGGGACGACCACCCGGCAGAGTCGTGCAGCGACCACAAAATGGACAGATTGAACAAAGCCTATGCAGCGATCGGAAGAAACTTCCGTTCAGAGGACGAAAATGATGCGTTTTTTAATACCCAGTCGGTTCAACTGGTCGATGCTCTCGCAATTGAGTATGAGAAGTTTAGTAAGGAACGGGAAGGCATGTCGACTACAACTATTCGCGCCCATTTCTACCGAAAGCCGCCTCCAAAGGGCCGAACAACGAAAAAATGACCTCTTCGACCTCAAGTCCTTTTCGAGAGTGAAGGATTCGAGATTCTAGCCGTAGTTGCTCACGCTCGCATCTCGGTGCTTCGCTTTCGCTACAACCGAAACGGGGTCGACTACAAGTGCGATTTAAGCTTTGAAAACGAGTTGAGTGTGTGGAATACACGCCTTCTGCGAGCGTATGCGTCTTACGACGAACGAGCTCGTGATGTAGGACTCGCAGTGAAGCACTGGGCCAAGCAACGCAGCGTCTCCGACACTGCTTCTGGATTTTTGAGCTCTTACTCGTACGTGCTGATGAGCATCTACTACCTGCAGGTTGTGGATATTCTCCCGAACCTGCAGGACCCGGAGCTTGTACACATTGCGGAAATTCCAACCTTGGAGCATGATTTTGAGAGCATTGCGTTTTGCGAAGATCGTGATACTGCAAAAATCTATCATGGAAAATCTATCCACGCAGACGAGTTGGTAGATAAATCCGTCATTACTACTGGGGGTTTCGAGTACTACACGTCGCAATTCGATTGTATTAAGCACGTCGTGGCTGTGTCTGTGGTGCAGAAGACTGAATTATGGGGTACTCAAGCAAAGACGTGGCGTTTATGCATCCAGGATCCCATTCAGACATCGCGCGATCTCGGTGGGGTGCTCCATTTTGATGCTCAACAAAAACTCACTGAAGAGTTACACAGAGCATATGAGTTTCTGTTTAGTGGGGAAAGTTTCTTGGATGTTGTTGTCTGAAAGAGTAGGCATCGCTGATAACTATATGAGTTCCGATAGGTGAGTGAAGTACATTTACTTCTCGTTGTTCATACACGTATCAATCAACATTTCAACACGACGATCGACTACCATGTCTACACTTACCTGGTTGGCCTTACTTGGCTGTAGCATTGTTGCTGTCTCCCTTTGAGTTGCCCCTCTAGCGATGAACTCTTTGTTGCCACTTTTTCTTCTTTTGGGTCTTGTTAGAGTCCCCCTCAATGCGTGACGAAGATGACTTTACAACCTCCACCCGACGCACAGCAGTCACCACCGTTGTTTCACTTTTCTTTTCACCATGAAGCTCCTTTTTGCCGCTGTTTTTACGTTTGCCATTGCTGCCTTTGGGTTGGTCAGTATGGTTGCTTTCTCGTGCTGCTCCATGTTGTTGGTTCTTTTTACGTCGGTCGCTCTTCTTACCGGGGGTGCAAGAGTCTCCAGCTAATGTCAGACGGAGTACGTGGCGTCGAATATTTCTCTGCGGTATATGAAGCTCATCTCTATCGCCAGCCTCCTCGTCGTTAAGGTCGTCTGGTGTACACTTACCCGTCGTATGCTCTGGGGACAGACACTTCTGGCATGGCGGTGTCGCGAATAAAGCCTGATGATGAACCCACACGCGACCCACACGCCCATCGGCCGCCTTCCAGTCGAGTCGCGTTCGTCGCGACAACTTACGAGGACAGTTTTGAGCCTGCGTCAACAGTTCCACCTCCCACCACTTGTTCTCGTTATCAACGACGTCGTCAGAGTCAGGAGTTGCAGCTTCCACCACTTTACCAACACGAAAAGACTTCTGGAAATCCTTAAAGAACGTCTCGATAATCTCCCTCGTCAGCTCTTCATCAGCACTCTGCAGTGTCATCACGTACGAACGCTTTATCTTGTCAGCTTGCTGCTTCTGCTCCGCGTTTGCTCGCGATTCATCCCCCGTCGTTTGCTTAGCATTCTTCACCTTCCCTGCTTTTCCAACAGGTTTCTCGACTGCGCAAACCTCAGAGAAGCTCTCACCACGCGCTAACATGTCATGTGCCCGATGGAGCTCGCGAATTATTCTCTCTTGTCCCTTGAACTGCAGCACACAGCCTAGATCACGGCCAGTCTCCAGTGGGTCCTGGATGCTCATGCGCCACGTCTTGGCCTTGCGACTGCCCCATTGCGCGAGCTTCAGCGCCGGCGTCTCTGGCGAGCGGACAGTCACGACACGCTCCGCAAAGTCGAACTGTGTGGCATAAAACTCAAAGAAGCCAACCAACAGAGCCGTCAATGACATATCCGATGCGTTGCCGTTCAATAGGCGCTTGTGGAAGGCTTGAGCGACGTCTTGATCCTCGCAGAACGCGATGTTGATGTCATTGTAGTACTGTGGCTGGATCTGCGCGGACTCTAGGAGCCGAGGGTCCTGTAAGTTAGGGAGAACACGCACCACTTGGAGGTAAAAGATACTGAGCAGCACGAACGAATACGAGCTGAGGAATCCCATCGAGGCGTCGCTGATGCCTCGTTGCTTAGCCCAGTGCTTCACTGCGAGGCCCAGAGTCCGTGCACGGTCATCGAACGACGCATAGGCGCGTAACAGAGGCGTGTTACGTGTAGCCAACACATTCTCAAAACACAAGTCGCACTCATAGTCACGACCGCTGCGCGTATGCATGAAGCGAATGATGGGAACACGAGCGCCAGCAATGACGTGACGCACCTCGCACTTAGCCGCACGCTCTAAAATGGCTCGAACAAGGTACAGGTCTTTGCTCTGACGTCTGCTACCAGCGATGATCGCCTTCAAGTGTGCAGGCCTCCCATTCGCATTGGAATCATTGCGAGGTTCGACTCCAAGCTTTGCCAGGTCGTTCGTAACAGCGTTGCGAAGCAGACGCAGCTGGGTATAGAAGAACTCGAGCTGTCGGCGCTGTTTGGTATGTTTCTCGCCCTTTTTGCCGGATCGATCCAACGAATTGAGCGCCAGCGTGAGTTTCTCGATGCTCTTTTGAGTCTGTGCGTGAAGATCCTGCAATTGTTCGACTTCTGTCGTCGATACATGTCCGTTCTCGCTAACTTTCCCATCGATCAATTGATGCAGTTGCCGCTTTCCCATCACTTCTTTCGGTGGAGTTAAATCCTTCCCAATGCTGCGGCCATTGGGGAGGAGACACATGTCCAGATCTGAGGTACGAGAGCCGTAGTGCGTCATCGAACTACCGAATAGAATAACCTCACAGTGTCGCCACTTGCTCACCTCGCGGCGAAGCACAGTCTGGATGTCGCTAGCGACACGTAGACGACGCGCTTCTTCCTCTGGTTCAATACTCGACAGCTCCACAATTCGCTGCAGCTCTGACATCCACAGTTTCTCGGCCTCTGAAGGTGCAGCTGACACACAAACGTCAATGTGCGCCTGGGTTGCCGCTGACTCCTTTAAGAACGTCAAGAACGACTCCACCTGTTCACATGCCGTGTCTTCAGCCACCTTGGATTTATTCTTCTTTGAGCGTAGCTTCTTCTCCTTCTTCTCGCGCTTCTTGCTCTTCTGAGAAGTAACTTCGTCGTTCTCTCCTTCCACTTCAGGACTGATCTCTGGTATACTCTCCTCGGTTTTCTCTGGTTCCTCCTCCTTCAGTATCTGCACCCATCGTCTCAATAACGTCTCATGTTCGCTTGTAGCTCTGCTTAGAATCAACTCGGTAGCGTTATCCACCACTTCAGCCACCACGATCCTCTCCATGGCCCCTTCCATTTTGGTGCTGGTCCTTTCAGCCTCTCTCTGCTGCCTCAGAAGTTCCAGTCTCGAAGGTCGAAGCACGTCGCCCACTTGGTCCACGATCTCCTCTACGGGCCAAAGAGGCTTCTCGGCATCAACTACCTGATCCTCTTCGGTCTCTTCTTCTTCTTCTTCCTCCTCTGCACTTGCTATTTCTCTTTTGGAACCCAGCGCCAGCTCCCGGCGCAATCTTCGCTGTGTTTTAAACAACGCGAACATGCGCTGTGTAGCGACCTCCGACTGCGGCGTTGTGGCGTCCCCCACGCCATTACAGCGGCCTAGAAGCCAATGAGAAAAGGCCAGGTCGCCCTTTCCAGCCTTGAACCACGGAGTGTCTTGGTAATCGCCAATAGAAGCGTCAGAAGGCGCGTCAATGGGCGAAGACGTGGGTGGTGGCTTTGGCGGCACATTTTGCGGCTTCTGCTTGCGCTGTGAGGATGCGGATTGCGGCTTCGTGTCGCGCGTGATCTTCTTGCTCGATTTACTGCTGTGTGGCCGTGGGCGGGATCGCGGGGTCACCGTTGCGGCCTCCGAAGGGGACGCTTCCATGATGCTGAGGGGGCGAGAGATCCGTCAGTGATGGCAATGAAGACGCGGCGGGTGCTGCGATTGGTGAAAATGACATTTGAATTTTGACCAATGATAGGCTAGGAGACTTTAACCAGAAAGCATGGCATCGTGGCAGATTCTTGAAGACCATGCTGTCGGATTCGTCGAGTTCTCCATAATTCATTACAGCGAGAGCCTCTTGTCGAGAGGTGAGCTTGTGACGTTGTCACTGCGAACATATCGAGATGGACGGGATCGATGTGCCCGATCGGAGGTCCCTTGATGCAAAGCCCCAGGAACTTGAGTTGCTGCTGCACGGAATCACCAAGCCAGTTTATCCGTGCTTGCATCCCGTAACGAATCTTTCGCCAAAGCTTCATGTCGAAGAGGAACACTGTATTATTGTCCTCATCAAGCTCTGGTTACATACGTCTAAGCTTATTTTTATACGACATTCAGACATGTGCACGTCATGTGAACACATGTGCTCGATCCGGTTATTGGATACTGTACGCTTTACAGTCGCCCCTATGCAATTCACATACAGCAAGGCCTCCCGATTTCGCTCAAGAAGCAACCCCAGGCTGCAGGATAAGACGATGTCCCGAGTCTGGCTTCTGCTAACCGATCACAAACCTCTTCTTGGGCTGTGGTTTAGAGTGGTTTACTGTAACTTACTCGATCATGCACTCCGCCGCGAGTGCCATGAACTCAATCAAAGCCGCCAAGTTGTCTAGTGTAGCATCTATTTTAGTGGCTTTAAAAGCATATCGGTTTACGAGCAAGACAAGGATATCAATGAAGTCGCCGTCGGCGGTGCCGACGTTGCAGTGCGGATTTCCTCTGCTGGATTGAATCGGTTCAGATCGCACTTAATCGGGATACAGTGGGACTGGCGCGTCTTCTTTAGCCCTTCTGCGTTTCGCAGCAATTCTCACCAATAGGCTGCCGCCGCCGGCAGCTCGCTCGGCCAAAGAAGCAACGGCCATAGTAGACAGCAACTCGGACCAGCAGTAGCAGCGCTGGAGTCCACCGAGCGACATCGCCGAGCGTCCTGGTGTCTCGGCCGCAGTGTCTGACCCCCGCCGTGCCGGTCTCTCCGCTCTACCGCCCAAGATGCTCGCCAATAAGCGCCCACGACGCGCCGCCGCGGCCGAAGACTCGCTGGATCCGCGTGTCATGACCGAGCGCCAACAACTGGCCTTCCTGCTGCGTGCCACGGCTCCGTCCGACGCCTCGAGCAGCTCCAGCGACTCCGACTCCTCCAGTGACAGCGAGGACGACGAACCACCGCGTCGACGACGCCCGACCAAGCGCAGCAAGACGCGAGCCACCCGTACGCCCAACAATTTTTTTTTTTCTTACATATCGGGGGTGATTATATACTAACGGTTATGTGTATTATTTTTTCTTATGATGTTGTGTTGTAGGTGGTGGTGGGAAAGCGTCACCAAGTGCGGCAGACGCGCCCCCTGTGATTTATTGTGGTCGTGGACGACCGCCCAAGAACTCCATCAAGTTACCCAAGAATATGACGCATCCGCACGGCCGTCCGCACGTGAGGATGTCGCCCAGGAGCCATAATACGCGCTCTGGAGATACTGCGATCGCGGCGGCTATCGCTGCAAGTTTAAAAGCCGAGAAGTTGGCGACCAATCGAGCACTCAAGGCCGAGAGAAAAGAGAGAGATGTGTCCGTGAAGCAGGAGAAGACCAGTCCATCCAGCGCCAGTGATGTGGCCATGTTGAACAGCTCGGCTGCAACTCCATTCTGTGCGCTCTGCTGCGACCTGGAGCCGTTCTGTGACGCGCCACTGTTCCTGTGTCCAGCGTGCGACCAAAAGTACCCGACGCAGCAAGCGCTCGGCCGTGTCTGTATGACATAGTCTGCAGAGTACACGAAGGAGAGAGAAAGGATGGGGAGAGACGTGGAAGTAAAACAGCAAAGAGTGAAGAAGGGAGAAAGTGTGATGCCGGTGCAGGTGCGAATGATCAAGTAACGAGCGATGAGGTATCTGCGGAAAGAGGGAAGACGGCACATGGACGATGGAAGCGCAGTATGGGCGTGTGATGTCTATAGCTGTATGGATTCGATATGATTGAATGGATGCCTGTAAATCCTTCATCTCTGTCGACTTCCTGCCTACCTCCCTAGCTTGCCAGTCCCCTCCTGCTATGCCTGTCACAGTCGATGCAGCATCGTCCCCCAAAAAGAACCCTGCTCTGCTGCCGTCGTATATATATTACCCCATCCACATTACCCCACCCAACTGTTTTAGCGACGCTGACTCATGTCATGATCACCAAGTACGTCAGCAGCAGCAGGATCAGCACCAGCACAATAATAACGATGAAGTTCTTCATGCCGCCGGACTGCTTGATCAGCTCTTGTGTTTGTTTCGTCACGATTTCCAGCGCTTGCTTGGCCTTGTCTGTGTCATCGTTTAGGTCGTCTAACATCCTACCAGCAGCAGCAACAAAAACGAGAGTCAGTCCCACATAGAACATCAGGAGAATACTGATCGCGCTCACTTATTCTGTGTGTCGAGCTCTGTGCTAATGTTGAGGCTCATGTCTCCAAGACGCTTGACAGCCGAGTGCAGCTCATCCAAGCTCTCGTCCTGCTTCTGCCGCTCGATCTGCTGTGCTCGCTGATGCTCGGCCACGTAGTCGTCGTCTGCGTGGTCATCGGGCTGTTCAAATGCACCAAACACGATCAATACAAGTACAGAAACACAAAGGAGACAAAGTTCGTGCTGTTGAAGCCAACCTCGTTGCCCAGCTTGGAGTAGGATGGGGGCTTCCCCGGCGCGAACGCGGGCGCCATGCTCGCTGCAGCTTTGGTCTTGACGTGGCGCTTTGGAAGAAGTGCGGGAATAAAATGCGGCTCCGTGATTGGTCTAAAAATACCTTCGTGTTGTTGGACATAAACGTTGCGGTCTATTTTTAGAGGGAGATGGGCAATCATGAAGCGGCGCATTCGCACTGTACATCTGAGCCGAGGGTCAATGATAAGGCTAAAGTGTCTTCGTGTTGGTAAATGTTACGGTTTGGGTCTCGTTCTTCATGCGCGTCGCTAGTGGTCTGCTCTGTTGTTCGTCCTCCTCAACATCACTAGAAAAAATAAACAATAAATATCAACTGGGGGATGGAGGTACTCGCTTGGTCATCGTTGGCTCCACCTGCTCCGTTCGATGAGCTTGTTTTCCTTTCGCTGGTTGTTTTAATCGCAAGTTCGTTGTTCTTTGGGTGCTTCATGGCTGTGGATAGCGATCTTCTTCAATCTTCTCGAGCTTTTAGGTCATACACGCGCGTGTCCCCAGGGTCTGCTGCGTCGGGTACTTCTGGTCGCATGCAGGACACAGGAACAGCGCGTCCGAGAAAGACGCCTCATAGGCAGTATCATAGTCGCAGCATAGGGCGCAGCGTGGTGTTCTCTGTCCGAAAGACCGCGCCGCGTCCAAATGTGCGATGTCGTCCGAGCCGGACGGACTGACCTTGGCCTCGAGCTTCTTGTCGTTGGTCTCGGACGAGCTCGATACGTGCAGCCTCATATCTGCTACTTGTAGGTTCTTCTTGTGCTTGGGTGGGCGCCCAGGGCCCCGGCGGGTAGGCGTAGTGCCCGTTGGTGGCTTCAAGCGTTGTATCCGTTTGGGTTTCTTCGTGGGACGCGGGGACGTCACAGTCTCGTCATCGGAGCTCTCATCACCTGAGTGAGACGCATCGGACGCCTCGTGGGCCGTTGTTCGCAGTAGAAACGCCAGCTGCTGCCGCTCCGTCATGAGACTCGGATCCATGTGCAGTAAATGATCCTCCTCCTCGTCCAGCGCCCAGAACGAGCCCGGCTTCTGGCGATGGGTACGTTGGCGCTTCCTGGCACGCGTGGCCATCTTCGTCGGTCTCTCCGCTCTATGCCTCGTGACTTCTTCAGATCCGACGTGGACTGCGAGGCACCCACGCCACTTTCGTTGCTGCTGCTCCTCTTACTCTGTCGCTTCGCTTTTGCTTGCCTTTTCAAAGTGAGAAACGAATCGCATTTCTAACAGAATTTCTATCTGTTTTAACCAATCAGAAACCTATATTGCCACTTCAACTCGTCGGCGCTTACAATTGCCCCATCGACGTCGTCCCTACCCGAGAGTAATATGCACCACGATAGCGGATTCTGCTCGCTCGGCGCAGAAGTTGCGGATGCGAAATAGCGCATGCTTGCCCTGACCTAGCGCTGCTTAACGCGAGTCTGCATGCCAAAAGAGAAGTCCAGTACCTCAATATCCACGTGAAGTCCGACTACAAGTTGCACCCGCTACTTAACTGGGACCTGAGCTCAGGCAATGGCTTCTTGTTCCTCTCGAGTAAGCATGCTCAACTGCTGACGGAGTTTTTGGTCCCCCAGTCTACAACGATTCACGCTCTGTTAAGCGGTGAAGACGCGCTTTTTCGACACGAGA